TTTCAAAAAATAATAAAACAGAAGTCACATTCAGAACATAAAGTCTTTTAAATGAGTTCAGGTTGAAATCCCAGGCTTTGTAACAGATACCTTAACTGAGCAACAAGTCTGATCCCAAATCCTCCATCTCTTAGTGTGGTAATCCTCATGAATAAGCTTATTAGCAATGCTAATTCCTGATCCTGATCTTTATTACCAACATTGCAGTGGAGACAGTTTCAATATGAAGTGTCCCCCAAAAGGCTCATGTGTTGAAGGCTTGGTGCCCAGCTGGGGGAGACAATGAAAGGTAATTGGCTCATGAAGACTCTCATTTCATCAACAGATGAACCCATCGATGAATTCATAGCTGAATGGATTAATTAGGGCCTGGTAGGGGGAAGTAGATCACTGGTACAGTACCTTTGAAGGGTATTTCTTGTCCCTGGACCCCTCCACTCTGTTTCCCTGGCCTTTTGTACACCATGAGGTGAGGAACTTTGCTCCATCACTCCCTCTCTGTGGCTTGAGCCACACCTCCAGTCCTGATCTGGTTATTTTAGAGATGGGGGCGTCTAGCAAACTATTTGCTTGGGCTGGTCTTGAACTGTGAGCCTCCCAATCTCAGCCTCCCAAGTAGCTATAATTACAGGTGTGAACCACGGGTGTCCAGCTTCCTTGAAGAATTTGAACCCTCTACCTAGAGAAGGAACTTGTTTTGTGAGCTAAATATGTGGATGAATCAGGTAAAACTGAAAAGAAGACACCACCACTCTCCTCCCCCAACCTTTTCAGGGCACTCAGTTAAGGACATTAAGGGTCTTGAACGTGTGTGTGATGTGGCTGACTTCACTGTTTTCTAGCTGAGGTGTTGGAACTTGGAGCACGTTTTGAAGGCAAGGAGGGAGATGGAAGGAACCAAGATATAAAGCATGTGGCTGGACCTGGGGGCAACTTTCATAAAGTTTTATTTGCTAGGTCTGTCCCTCTCCGTCCCCGTCTGTCCTCCAAATGACCTTCAGGGGAATATCTGTTTTTCATTGACATCTTACAAAACGAAGAGGAGGGTCCAGGCCTGCCGTGTGATAAATCTTTCTCTACCCTTCTCCTTGTCTCTTTATTTGACAAATAGTGGCAAGTGGCCAGAACTGCCATGTGCCAGCTCAGGAGTTTGAACCTGGGTTCCAAAATTCTAGTTTAGGTTTTGTTGTCATTTTTTTATTTTGTTTTTGGTTTTGTGGTGCTGGGGCTTGAACTCAGGGCTTCATACTTGTATTGTTGGTTTGGTTTTTTTTTTTTTTTGACAGGGTCTTGCTGTGTTGCCTAGGCTGGTCTTAAATTCCTCCATTCAATCAATACCCTGCTTTGCCTTCCCAAGTAGCTTGAACTATGGGTGAGCCCAGTTTGTTATCAACAATTTTAAATAGAGTTTTGTTGTGAAAACCTCTGACAACTGAGGAACATGGGGAAAAAGAGGCAAACCCTCCAAGTCCTGGTCATTTTAACTTGTCAAAATATTTTTAAGGGTGAGAGAGGCTAAGTTTTGCTGCTAATTAATAAAGCCATGAACTCAGAAAACATGCTGCATGAGTGTATTACAGGTGGGAACAATTCAAATGTTGATTCCTGGGTGGTTGACTGCACTGGCTTCCTCATCCAGCAGCCTGCAATTACAGGGAGGTGCATCAATTATTCATAATTTCAAGGAACAGGATGTGCTCTGGGGCAGCAGCAGTCAAATACAGGTAATTCTGGCTCAAGTGACAAATCACTTCCTGTGAAATAATTAGGAGGAAAATCAGACAGCTTACGCATAGCAAGTTTCCACAAATGCCCTGTGTAGCCTTTGCCAAACCAGTCAGACACTGGTTAACCCAGCTGGGAAGAGGGATGGGCAAAACATACAAGTGAGTGTACTTTCTCTCTTTTCCACAGTACTTTTCCTACTCTTCGCCACTTTCTCTAGTTTAAGTATTCTTGTTTGGCAGTCTTTGCTTACCTGCAGGTTGGCTTTCTATGGTTTCCATTACCTGTGGACAACAAGCATGGTCTGAAAATATGACATGGAAAATTCCAAAAATAAACGATTTGAAATTTTTTTTTCTTTTATTATTCGTATGTGCATACAAGGCTTGGGTCATTTCTCCCCCCTGCCCCCACCCCCTCGATTTGAAATTTAAATTTCATCCCATTCTGAGTAATGGGATGAAATCTCTCACCTCCCTGCCCCATTCCACCTGGATCATGAATCATCCCTTTGTCCACGGTGTCTAATACTTGCCTTTAGCCACTTAGTAGCCATCTTGGTTGTCAGTTAGACTGTTGTGGTTCCACAGTGTTTGTGTTCAAGTAACCTTTATTTTGCTTAATCATGGCCCCAAAGCACAAGAGTAAAAATGCTGGCATTTTTATTATCGTAAATTGTTGTAGCTGTTCTATTTTATTATTAGATATTATTGCTAATCTCCTACTGTGCCTAACTTACAAATTAAACTTTATGTTAGGTATGCATGCATGCACAGGAAAAACCAGAGTATACACAGGGTTTGGGACTATCTGTGGCTTTAGTCATCTACTTGGAGTCTTAAGATGTATCTCCCAACAATAAGGAAGGATACTGTCCTACTTAATGCCAGTATCTACCCTTCTTTTTTTTTGTTTTTGGTGGTACTGGGGTTTGAACTCAGGGCCTCATGCTTGCTAGGCAGGCACTCTACCATTTGACCCACACCTCCAGCCCCTCGGCAACATTTTAATATGACCACTAGGACTGCTGATTGCAGAGTGTGTAGCAACCTTTTCAAAAGGAAAACAACCATATCTTAAAGTGGTGAACTGTTTTTGCCCACCACTGCACTGATCAGTACAAGAATGCTTTCATTTACCGCTCATCTGCCCTGCTGATGTAGAAGTCTATGTGTTGTTCTGAAGGACATGTATTGTCAGTAGGACAATTAGTGAAACTGGAATATAACACTGTAGATTAAAAATACTGTATCTGTGTCAAATCTGCCAAATTTGATAACAGGACTGTGGTTATATAAGAGAATGTCCTTGCTGTGAGGAAATAAAACACTGAAGGGTTTTTGGGGATAGAAGGACATGATGCATGCAATTAACTATTAAATTACTCAGTAAAAAGCGTATGTGGAGAAAGAAAATGGCAAAGCAAGTGTGTCAACTCTTGGCAGGTGAACCAATACCAGCAATTGCCTATCTCCACATTTTCTTTTTATTTTTTGCAGTACTGGGGTTTGAACTCAGGGCCTCCACCTTGAGCCACTGCACCACCCCTTTTTTTGTGAAGGGCTTTTTCAAGATAGGGTCTTTCGAACTATTTGCTGAGCCACTGTCCGGCTACCTCCACATTCTTATACCGTCTCATACTGCCTAACGATGTTTCTGGTAATGATGGATCATGGTCCCATAAGATTAAAATGAAGCTGAAAAATTCCCCTCACCTAATGACACTGTCACTGTTGTAACATCATAGCACTCCACAGTAGTTATCGAGTGTGGTGACACTGGTGTAAACAAAACTATTGTGCAAAACAATTATGTACAGTACATATTACTTGATAATGACAGATGACTATTTTATCTGCTTGCTATAGTTTGTTATTCTAGATTTATTTTAAAAAATGGTTCCTGTAACACAGGATTCCATGATAAAGGCATTAGCTTCATCTGTCTCCTGTTTATCCTGTGTTGTGAATGCAATCAGAAGCTATGAAACGTGACCATTTAGGTTTCGCGAGAGTACACTTTTACGATGTTGGCACAACTGTGAAATCACCTAACAATGCATTTCTCAGAGTGTGTCTCCATTGCTCCACAATGCATGACTATCCATGAGAAAAACAACCTGCTGATGTTAGTTCACACTTTGTAGTTGAAAATGTTCCTTCCACAGAAGGAAAAAATGATTATATCATTCATAATTCAGAAGCTTACAAAAGGAAGTGCTTATTTCTGGCTCCAAAGACACACACAGTGGCAACAACAATATTGCTTCATGCATGAGGCTCTGTGCCAGGTGGTTACATCCATTGTGTAATTCTCCCAAGAAGAAACCAGTAAGTTTGATGCGATGATTACTTCATCCTATGTAAAACAGGGGAAATGACAGCATTTATCTCGTATGACTATTGGAGGGATTAAAGGACAATATACACAAAGCTCTTAGCACAGTGCCTGGCCAACAGTAAATGCTAAATACACATATAGGGGTTGGGGATTTAGCTCAGTGGAAGAGCGCTTGCCTGGCAAGTGTAAGGCCCTGAGTTCGGTCCCCAGCACCGAAAAAAAAAAAAAAGGAAAAAAATAGAAAAAAAAAGCAAAACAACAAAAAAAAAACAAGGTAACTGCTAAATACACATATATTACACACAGGCATAGAGAAATATTTTGTCTAAAGTACATAAAAAAATGGAAGAAAGATGATTTTTCAACCCAGGTCTGAAATACACAAGTCTCTGCCTTTTTCTTTAAAAACAAACAAAATTGCTCCCTGTACAGCGCGGAAGAGTAGGATGTTTAATTCTGTCAGTGGCTAAACTGAAGCCACTCTTCAATTTTGTCCTCTGGTTTGATCCCAACCGCTACCAACGCCAGGCCATGCGAGCTGCTTAAAACAACAACAACAAAACAAAACAGCTTCCTAAGCCGGGCTCAGTTGCTAAATGGCTTCGTGACCTGACGCAAGATTGTCACCGCGCCCGTGTCCCCATCCGCAAACCCAGAAGGGGCTGTCCAGGTCCTCTGGGAACAAACGGCCTAATCTCCCCAAGCCCCAGACAAGTTACCCTCCAAATCATAAAGATTTGAAGGATCCCAAACCGGCCCCAGAATACTCTGCAACAGTCCCCCCACGCCTCCGACCGGCTTCTGCGTCACGATCGGCCGCGTCCCCACTTCGAGGCGCAGACGGAGCAGTGCGCACCGCCCCCTCCCGCGAACTACACCTCCCACAATCCCCTTCGGCCGAACCACCTGAGCTGGGGGAGGGGATGGAGGCGGAGCTAGCCGCCCCAGGGCACGACGCAGCCTCCTGAAATGTCCTGCCCGTGTCCTCTTGGGTAAAGTTCTGCAAGAGAGATGACCAGTTTCCCTGGTAAGGCAGGTCATCTGACGCAGTTAGGTACGATTCTACCTCCGGTGCCCTCTGGGGTCCCCTCTGGGTAGAGCGGCAGATGATCTAGGCCAGCGGGGAACCAGGCTCCAGACGCCAAGGTACCGAAGGGCGATCCGTACGCATGCGCGAGACACAGTATGGGGGCGGGAGCGACTGAGCCACTGGCCCGCGTTTGAAAAGGTGAGTAGTGGGCGAGGCCAGGGTGACAGTTTTCTGTAATCGCCGGATAGGCATAACCATCTCCGTCCCAGCCAACTCTAAAATCCATGATCTCAATTGTCCATCAAATAGGGGTTCCCAGGAGCTATGTTTTAGCGTTTACACATAAAACTCCTACTTTTAATTAAGCCACTTCCATTATTTCATTGCCTTTGTTGATGTCCTTCACTGGGCCACACATCTTCAGTACAGCAGTGTGCATTTTGGGAGGGCTTGCTCACCTTTCATCTTGATTTTCCCAGCCCTTAGCAAATAGCACCTTCCTAGTGAGCTGTAGAGCATAAAACCTTTTGGACATTTGATTCTTTTCGACCTAGTATCACACTAGGTACATGGTTTTTCAACGCTTTCTGATTCATTTGCATTACATTTTGAGAAGTCTCCCTGATATGATGAAGACGCTGATACACTACCTGCTCAGGATACGATTAGGTTAAACGTCCTATTGTGCCCCAGTCTTAACCACTTGTTACCAAGTCTTAACCTTGTTATATGACTTGGTTAAGGTACTTAACTGTTGGGGCTTAAATTTTCTCATAAAATGAGAAGATTGGATTAGGTGATTTCTAAAAACTTTCCAGCTCTAAAATTCTGTGGCTAGTAGAATCCAGGTTACGTCATAATATGTTAACTACCATCAACTTTCATTTCTCAGGCAACATCAGTAAAATACAGCTACAAGAATTGTGACAGCAATATTAGAAAGGATTGTCCCTTATTGAACTTGTGACTTCACACCCTAGCTTCTTTATCTGAAAATAAAAAACTAACTCATAATACAACTGCATTTAACCTATCTGTATTATCACTTTACAGAGCATTCCAGGAAGAACTCTGGATACAACAGTGAACACAGTGCATGATGATGGCTCAGATCTTACGCTCTCATCTGATAAATGCTTCACTGATCCCTCATCAAGTGAGAATGCTTCTGTATCTTGGTGTCGTTAGAAATAGGATGATGTCAACCCATAAATCCAAAAAGAAGATGACAGAATATTATAGGCTTCTAAATCTAGCTGAAGGATGCTCTGCAGTTGATGTCAGGGACTCTTTTCATAAGCTCGCCAAGCAATACCATCCAGACAGCGGCTCTAGTAATGCAGATTCTACAGTATTTATAAAGATTGAAGAAGCTTATAGGAACGTGCTTTCCCATGTGATAGAACAAACAAATGCCAGGCAGAATAAAACTGAAGAAACAGAAGAAGAAGAAAATTTCAAATATAGTACACCACAACACCGACACTACTTAAGTTTTGAAGGTATTGGCTTTGGGACTCCAAGTCAGCGAGAGAAGCAATATAGGCAATTTAGGGCAGACCGTGCAGCAGAGAAAGTATTGGAATACCAAAAGCAGAAACTGCAACACCAACATTTAGCCAATAGTTTAACCGTTAAAGATGTAAGACAGAGCAAAGAACAAAAAATAACTCAAGCGATAGAGCGTTTAGTGGAGGACCTCATTCAGGAATCAATGGCAAAAGGAGACTTTGACAATCTCAGTGGGAAAGGAAAACCTCTAAAAAAGTTTTCTGGCTGTTCATACATTGATCCCATGACTCACAATCTGAACAGAATATTGATAGATAATGGGTACCAACCAGAGTGGATCCTAATGCAAAAGGAAATAAAGGATACCATTGAGCAGCTGAGAGAGGCAATTTTAGTGTCTAGGAAAAAACTTGGGAATCCAATGACACCTATGGAACAGAAACAGTGGAACCAAGTTTGTGAGCAGTTTCAAGAAAACATCAGAAAACTAAATAAGCGAATTAACGATTTTAATTTAATTGTTCCCATCTTTACCAGGCAAAAAGTCCATTTTGATGCACAGAAAGAAATTATCAGAGTCCAGAAACTATATGAGACCTTTATAGAAACAAAAGAAGTCACAGACAAAAACCCAAATGACATTAATCAGGAAGAAGAGAAAACAACTGAAGCCAAGACAGGGTTTTTAAACTGGTTGAATCTATGGAAGTTTATTAAAATCTGATCATTCCAATGTTCCCTGTCATAGTACTGCCACCATTAGTTTTCAGTTGCACTGACATAAACATAAAGCCTGCTATGTCACAAGAATTTGAGAATTGTGTACCTCTTTACTATTCATGAAACTAATCACATCCCCAAGTGATGTCTGAGAAAACTAAGAAACTGAGTCCGGATTTTTCAATCAGCTTTGCTCTGAGGATACAGCAAGAAAGGAAGTGAAATTACTTCTAAAGGGAAAAAAATACATTTCAGAATCTAGAACTGAGCCTCACACTCAGTTCTGGCTATTCCAGAAGTTTCAGTGCAGTTTTAAGTTCTAATAACTTAAAAGCAGTTACTGGTTACCATTTTCAATCACAGGCACTTAAATACCAACAAAAGTCAAGTATGCATTATCAAACACAAAACTGAAGAAGTATGATGAAATGTAACTAACTAAACCTCCAAATGATACACATTTTATGCATGTTCTTATTAAAGCTCAAAACTGTTCTAAGACTTTTGGAATACCCATGACATGGGGGAAATGTTAAAATCAGAAAATTAGCCTAATGGTGTTAGGTATTTTCATACTAGAAAGGCCGCCTTGGTGGGTACTGAATGAAGGAAACACCAAACATTCAGGTGGTTCTTTTTCCTGCCTAATTTCATGATCCATTGGCTGCACAAATCAATCAGGCAAGCTAGTTGAAATTCTACAAATAGACTCCATTGTCCACTTTTAAAGAGTTTAAAAAATCTTTTTTTTGTGACTTTTCAGAGGTGGTAAAAATCCTTCAACTCAATGCAAATGTAAGATTCACTTTTCATTTCTTCTCTGATTGCAGGTTAACATGCTAGGTTTCCATAAATTTACCTCAAGCCTCCCTATGTCTTAAATCAGACTCCCAAGAGGCTTCTCAGTGATGTGAAAGTCCTAACTTACTGTCTTAGGAACCTAATATTTCCTGTCTTAGGACCCTTTAATATAATTAAAGACAAGATATCCAAATTTTGTGCATTTGCATCTTTAGCAAATGACAAGAAATTGAAATTTGTGGATTAGGTCCTGTTCACTTTCAGAAAAATCTGACATTTTCAGGTTTAGATGATTTCTTTCGGGCATTTAGAAGGAAGTAGAAGGTAGTGAAAAGGATCTGTTTCAGGAGTGCTGTGGTATAGGTGTGATTCAGAAGTATGATAGTCAACACTCTGGTTTTGAATAAACAAATTATTTTGTAAAGCATGTGATAGATTAAACAAACCATTTTCAAAAAGGAAATTTGGAGCCTTTCTGCTTAGATGATGGGGCATTAACTAGTATAATATGTGATTTTGTTTAATTGAATGAGTTATCATTTGGCTTCTATGATGACAGTATTACTGTAAACAAAACTGAACATTAGGAAATACAGCTTTATTGTAAAGGCTACAATGGAGCCCATGATTCTATGAATCTTGTTAAAAATGGGAGTTAGATATAAGAAGCCTAATTGCATTGCAGCAAACATATGAATGAAACCATTTTCAATATTGGACAATGGGAAGGCAAGGTTAGGAGAAAACTTCAGTAAATTACTCATTTCAGCACAGTGCACTTTATGTTTGTAAATGTCTATTCAATAAAGTTACTTTAATGATTATTCAGTGGTCCATTGTTATATAAACACTAATAGTAAGAACCATAGTTTTAGCTGACCACCTATAGTTTTTTCACTTTTTTTTTTTTTTTTTTTTGTGGTACTAGGGCTTGAGCTCAGGGCATTGACCTTGAACCACTCCACCAGCTCTATTTTTGTGAAGGTTTTTTTGCAATAGGGTCTTTAGGGTCTTTTGGACTATTTGCCCAGGGTGGCTTCGAACTGTGATCCTCCTGATCTCTTATCCTCCTGATGTCTGCCTCCTGAGTAGCTAGTATTATAGGCATAAGCCACTGGCGCCTGGCTCATCTTTTTGATTAATGATAAGAAAGGTGATTATGACATGGAGAAAATTCATTTGTGTAAAAATAGGTTCACTTATTTAAGTAACCAAATTTCAGGCCAGAAAAAAGATTTGAGCCAGTTCATTAGAGTTTGTTGAATTGGAATTTAACACATATTTCTTATGATGAAAAACTTTTTTTGGCAGTGCTGGGGCTTGAACTCAGAATCTTACACTGCTAGGCAGGTGCTCTACCACGTGAGGCACTCTGCCAGCCCTGTTTTGTGTTGGGTTTTTCAAGTTAGGGTCTCAGGAACTACTTGCCCAGGCTGGCTTTGAACACTCATCCTCCTGATCTTTGACTCTTAAGTAGCTAGGATTATAGGCGTGAGCCACCAGTGCCTGGCTAGTCCTGACTTTTTTGTTTTTCACCTTTTCAAACTATCATCTCAGTGCTGTTCTGTTTTGATTTGGTGCTGGGGTTTGAACTCAGGGCCTCAAGCTTGCTAGGCAGGCACTGTATCACTTGAGCCACTCTACCAGCCCAAGCTTTTTAGTTTATTGGCAATTTATTAAAGTTTCTGAACTCCTGAATAGGCAAATATCAGACTGCCTGGTTGTCAGCCTTTTTATGGTTCCTGTCTCTATTCCTCCTTCAAACTCTGGGAATAGGACTGGCCCAGCGGCCTGAGACTAGAGTCTCAAATCACTGTGGCTTCTGTTTGCCAGCTGTGTAAATTGGCTTTTTGCCTGTGTTCTATGTGTCTGAGTATTAGCCTTATGAGTTTTTCTGGCACCTCAGGACTAAAGTTGAAATCCTTTGAGAGAATAGTTGCTTGACTCTTCATTTTCTTCATCACTGTGCCCTAGGACATAGCTGTGTGCATAGGGCCAACTCTTACAGAGAGTCTCTTAACTTTGCCTTAGTGCTTAGAGGCATTACTTATTGACTACCTTTGAGACATCTGAATACCCCCATGGATGACTCATGCTGATTTGCCTGTTCCCGGAGGTGTTGCTTTTCCCTTCTGGCAAATGTTTTGTTCATTCTGCATACATTTATTAGGTTGTGAAAGGGAATACACCATTCCATTGTCTGATTCCACAGGTCTGTAATGGATTGAGCAAATGGGCCCTTCCACCTCAAATGTAGCCCTCAGATACTGACTTGGTGTTAGTGCTGCTACCACCACCCTGGCACCAGGCCTGGAACACTGGGCCCCCTGTATTTCTGGCTTAAGGGCAGACCCACAAATGTCACAATAGTTCCTGCCCAGCCGAGCCCAGATTGGAACCTCCAATCCACTTTCCTCACAGCTTGGGGTGACATACAGTGAGGGAAGACAGTCCCTGGGATGGGGCTTTCTCCACTTTGCTTCTGAGCCCAGTTCCCAGCCTACTGTGGAGTGACAAGGGAATCCCCAACAGCCCTCGCCCAAATGTAGATCCAAGAAAGTAGGGCACAGGGATTTTTCTCTCCAGCCAAGACTAACTTCAAAGTCTGGCTTCCCGTGGGAAGACACACATCTTCCTCAGATGATGACATGTATGTCACCATCCCTTTACCCCATTAAGAGACAGACCCCACCCCAAGTCTTAGCAGGACAGTGACATCTAAATACCCTACCAGTAACACTGTTCTGAGAGAGTGCGACCCACAGTTGTGAAGAGGGGTCCTAGCTGCTGTACAAAGGTAAAGAGGACCCTGTGCTCTTGAGGACCTTCTAGCAGGAAGCGTTTGGTCCAGTGCTGAGTCTGATCTGGTGTTTATAGCTGAGTTTCTAGCCTGGTCCTTCGGTCTTCTCTCCATTAAGCCACACTGAATTAGGCCATTTGCATTACTATAACTAAATACTTGAGGAGGGCTGACTTTCTAAATAAGAGGCTGATTTAGCTTGCAGTTTTGGAAGTCAAGGACTTGGCACCGGCACTGGCTCAGCTGTGGTGCGACAGCCTTCTTGGTTGCTTCACATCATGGCAGGAACCTGTAAATGAGGGAGAGATTATGTGTGGAAACAGGGAGCCAGAGGGATCAGATTCAGGCTTGCTTACAGAACTACACAAGTGAGAAATATCCTAATTTCTTCTCGGAGCAGGCTCCCAATTAACCCAAGGACCTCCCACTAGGCCCTACCTCTTAAAGATTCCATATTACCTCCCAGGAGTACCACCATAGGAACAAAATTCCAACACATGAAACTGTGGGGACACACTAAAGCCATAGCCAAGTCAGTTTACACCATAATTTGGCCAGATAAACCCTAAGATTTTCAGTGAGCTTTGCTTAAACAAGGTAGTGGATAGTGTTGTACTTTTTGCTACCATTCTTTTTTTTTTCCCTCTGTGAAACAGGGTCTTGCTATGTAGCCCAGGCTGGCCTTGAACTCATGATCTTTCTGCCTTGGCTTCCCAAGTGCTGGGATTACAGGCATGTCCCACTATGTCTGGTCTTGTCATCTTTCAGATGGCCCATACTGAGTCATCTGGGGAAGATGGGGTTCCTCCAATGGGAACCAGGCCTTTGAAGTTGGTTTTGGCAGGAAATAAAATGCCTAACTTCCTTAAATATTCTCAGAAACTGGTGCATGACCTCAGCTCTGCCAATGGGCCTTGTCTTAGAGAAACATAAGTTCAGAGTGAGACATGGCAGGTAATGCATTGGCTGTGTGGCTCACTACATTGCTGTGGGGGAGGTGGTAGAGACCAGGTAATCCCTTTTTCTTTAGTATTGAAACCACATTTTCTGTCTTTGCAGTTTAGTCAACTGATATTTTACCCGCAGAATGAAAGTGGAAGTGGTGCATGCAACCCGTGGGATGTTTTTGTTGTTGCTTTTGATTGTTTTCTAGTGCTGGGGATGGAACCCAGGGCTTTGTGCATGCTAGGAAAGCACTCTACCACTTAGCCAAAGCCTCAGTCCTTGCTTTTATTTTTAGGATAGGGTCTTGCTATGTAGCTAGGGCCTCAAACTCACAACTCTCCTCTCTCCACTTTGCTAATGCTGGGATTACAGGTATGGATCAATGTCCCTCAAATTTTTTTTAGACAGCTCCGTATGTAGCTCAAGCTGGCCTTGAACAAGCTATGTACTTCAGGCTAACCTTGAACTCGTGATCCTTCTGACTCTACCTCGTGAGTGTACTCCATTGGCCATGCTGTGTTCTCTTCTGCTTTTGTGGATGCAGGCATAATGGGGTATTTCTGAAGGAATTTATTCAACAAATAATCATTGAGAATCTAGATCTCGGCACATGTGTAAGAGCTATAGGAGTTAATGATACAGAACATTTTGTGATAATTATAGGATACAAAATTTAAGGTGTTTTAGATTCCATTAGTAATATCTGAACTGTCACAGCATCTTTTCTCCAAACAACTAAATGGCATCTTTTGTTCTGCACGAGATTTAGACTGGGCTTCCAAAGGCTCTTGAAGTTATGCTGAAAATTCAAGAGGCAGTGTCTTTAAAGAACACAAGTGGAAAGAGTTGGCCGTAAGAAAGCTGAAAATCTGGATGGATAGAAGGAAAAGTAATCTGCAGGGCAGAATCAGAAGACTAGTTAGTTGTACTTTGCTGGTAACCTCAGGTAACCAGTACTAACTGGATATCCTTGGACAAACAACTTTATCTTTTTTAGGACTTCATTTCTGAATCGAGCACGTGCCCAACTCTGGGCAGTTTGGGGACAACGCTCACTAGCAGATATGCAAAGGAGGACCCTGTCTTGGAGGCCTGGGCTGTCCGCACAAATGACTTCACGAGTGTTGCGCTTGAATAAACGCAGTGGTGACAGCTCGACAGCGGCAATCGCCCCCCAAACCGGAGAAGCCTGGTCTACGCTACCTCAAACGCACGACGTCTGAACCACAGCTCCAGGAGGCAAGCAAAGCAGCCGGGGCCCACTCCACCCCAAGGAGTTCCCCGCCACCCCCGACTGCATGCTGATTGGTCGCTGAGATGCGTACGGCACCGCGCCGCGCCCTCCAACGACCTTGCACCGCCCCTAACGTCCCGCCCCGCCTCTTGGAGCCATGCCCGCCTCCCGCAGGCCACTCGCTGTGCACTGATTGGTTCCTCTGGAGCGCACGGCGCCTCGCCCCGCCCAACAGTGCCCTAGCCTAGCGCCAGCCGCCGGCTCCAGGTTTAGGAGGCTGAAGTGGAACGGGACGTCGCCGAGCCCCGGGCTCAGCGTAGCCTCCTCCTCCCTGCGCGCGCGCCTCGGGTCGCGTGGGCATCGGAGGAAGCCGGGTGAGTGCGGTTGGCGGGTCTCAGGCGGCTGGGAAACACGAGGAAGCCTGCGCCGGTCTCCCGGGAGTCGGGAGGCGCCCCCCGCGGCCCACCCGGCCCGGCCTGCAAGGTGCAGTGGAACAACCCGGTCCGGGCCCGTGGAGCTCCCGGGAAGCTTGCCGGCGGGGCTGGGCCTTCGCCGTCCCGACCTTCCTGACCCGCGTCCCCCGGGGTCGACAGTGGCCCTGGTGCAGCCGTGACCCCCGCGCCAAGGCCGGAACGCGTGTCGGGGCGGCTCCAGCTCTTCGCCTCTCCCGTTTGCTCTGAGCCATTGCGGGGAATCTGTCGTTGTTTTGTTCTGATTCCATCCGTGCGAGAGTCAAGGTCCGAGATGGGAAGGAGGAATGGATGAGGAACAAAAGTCTTCTGGGAATTAGTCCGAAGTATTGAGTGCCCTTTTGGATAAGT